CTGCTGCTGGCCTCCCGCCGCTCGGTGCCCCGGGCCCCCGCGCGGGCAAGGCCGAGCGTCGCTCCCATCTCGTGCTAGGTTGTTTCTTCCCCGCTCTGAAGCGTCAGGAACCACCTGCGCCTGTGATCACACCTAAACGCTGCTGCGGCTCCTCTCCGGAGGCTTTTGTGACTTTATGCTTTCTTGAGGGTGTAGTTAGAGGTAGGTTGGGTCACAAGGGCTTAGAACTGCCAAGATAAAGAGTAAATCCCCAAATCACCTGCAGGTGATGTGCTTATCTGTGCAGGAGCTGACGGAGAGCGGTGGATGTGGACCATGTTTGTCTGTCGATGATTAGAAGGCGCTTCTCTCGGAGAAGCAAACCCTCAGGTGAGTTTGTTGTCAGTATTTATGAAGGTACTGCGGAGCCTAGATATTTCATCTTGTTGAGGGGCAAGAAACTAGCTTCTAAGAGTCCTTCGTGCCCTCCCCATCCTATACTTAGGTATAGTATTGTTATTTCCATTTTTTTCTGTACCAGCGTTACAGATAACAGACAAGACTGGGAAGGGGGAGTTGGAGTACAGGGAGTGAGATGCAATGATATGACACCCCTTTTTTTGCTCTTAAAATTTACTTGTCCGCGTTAGGTTGCCAACTGTTTGCCAGAATGGTTTTGAGATCGATTTTTATATTTTCTTATTGCTTTCCCTTTGCTAAGTTACTTTGGTCTTTCCTAGGCTGTATTTTGCAGGCATTTCTTCTGTCTTGTGGGGTATTTACAACAGTATATATGCTTTTCCTATTTAAATATTGGATGTGGGTAGTCAGCTCAGCTAATGCAGAAGCGCTTTGAAAAGTTACTCTTGCCCGTGTGCTTTGTCCTCTTTGCTCTCAGTTCCTCAGATGTTTATGGCAATGATTCTTTTTTTTCCCTTAAACTACCTTTTGGTAGGTTGTAAAAATGTTCAGTGCAAGCCAGTCATCTAAAGCCCAGTTCCTTGATAAAGCACGCCAGGCTCGGGAGGAGAGGAGAGAGCTGAAGGAGAGGGAGAGAGCTGCCATTCAGATCCAAGCTTTGGTCAGGAGATTTCTCTGTCGATGCCATCTGCAGAGGGAGATAAGGTGTGTGAAATTCTTCCCTCCACGCTTTGCTCCTTTTATCTTGAGAGGTGTGCTTGGCTTTCAACTACCAATGCTCGTTTTCCTCACTTTCCTAGGAGAGAAGTCGAGGATTTCTTTGAGGCAAATGAATCTGGCTCAAGTAAAAGAAGTGCTCTTTCTGTCTTCCGAATTGCTAGGAAACTACTGTTTGTATTTAATCTTAAAGAGGACAAAGAGGTAAGATTGTTAATCTGAAATGTTTTCCTTCCTTGGATTACATATTTAGCGTCTTCTCCTTCCCGTTTCAGCAGCAAGTCAGTCCCTTGCTGGGCCAAGGACTAGACTCTGCTCCTTCGCACTCTTATTTCTGGAGAATACTCCCTGTTAGGATAACCATACCAGCAAAGTTTTGTAGCTCAGAAGGGCTTCATAACTTGCAACTGGACTGAAATAGGAGTTGAGAAGTTCTGCATATGAGCCCCAAGTTCAGATGAGAGCCACGATGGTCAAGTGTTTGGAAAACATTGCTGCGCTAGTTGTTACTGTACTCTTCCAGATGAACCCCAACAGGGGAGTGCTTTTCCTGCCTTCAGGCCATGCTGTGGAGGGAAGCAGTTTAGCTGGGAAGGCTGATAAATTCCTACTATTGATGGGTACTATGTTCCAGGAGAGAGCTCTTCTGCATAGTTGTAGCATGAAATGTAGATGCACCCTCAGAGAAGGAGCTGCTGGCCCAGTCCGTGGGGTGTATGTGTTTGGAGCATTTGTTCTGATACAGAGGTACCTTGCTTCTAGCTCTCTCTTCTGAGCTGTTTGTAATGTTTTTCCCAAGTAACTCGTACCGTAATTAGAACTGATATTACTCTCTCCTTTTTTTTCCAGAGATTTGAAAAGCTGTGCCGTTGTATTCTTAATAGTATGGATGTTGAGAATGAGCCCAAGGTCAGTAGGTTTTTTTTTTTTTTTCCCTTCATTCTATGTGCGGGGAGTTAGGTTGGTGATGTTTGAAATATTTAGTTTTTAAAAGCCCGCAAGCATTGCTGACGTTCCGTGAGGAATGCTTGGAGAGGTTCCTCAGTACGCCTGTGAAATGTTTAGTCTGTATATAGCTATAAAAGGTAAAAGGCAGTTTGTGTGCTTTGACCAAGCCAATTCCGGGGAGAGAAATAACTTGGCTCCGCTGCTGGGATGAGCAGTGCGCTGAGATCGTTTTGTTACAAGGCTTCCTGGTAATGTATTTTGCCAGTCATTAGCACAAAAACCTATCACGGCTCGCGTCTGTTCCCTGTTGTCCTCAGGTGTGGTATGTGTCACTGGCACTCTCCAAGGATCTCACACTCCTGTGGATCAAGCAGATCAAAGATATTTTGTGGTTTTGCTGTGAATTTCTCAAGCAACTTAAGGTAAAATAAATAAATACGTTTCACTGTGTTTTGTCTCCCTACTTCTAATGGTTCTGTAGTTTGGCACAGAACTAACTTGATTTATTAACACTGGTGTTTGTTATTGCAGCCTGACATCTTGCAAGACTCCAAACTAGTCAATTTGCACCTCACAATGCTTATCACCTTCACAGACACTTCTACCTGGAAAATCCTTCGGGGAAAAGGTGGGGTATATCCCTTTCAATACTTTTAGTCACTGATCTGGGACTTGCTTTTAAAATCTGCTGAGTGCTGTTTCTGCACCTTGCCTTCTCCCCATACTTTCTGCAAAGATTCGTTAGGCTTCTGTGCTTGCACAAAGCACAGGCGGTACAGATCCTCTTGGGATTAGAGAAGGTATTTCCCTTAGAACAGCAGGAGCTCAGTGTTGGAGGGCTATGAGAAACTCGCAAAGTCTCACATACCAGCGTATTCAGAGTATAATGTAATGTGGCTCTGGCTCTGGGATTGTGTGGGAAATAACACATAGAAGAGGTAGATAGGTTTAGTGAAGAAATGTGACTCTTATAGCTTAAATGATCCCTTTTACTGGAACTTGATGTGGAATGCTGCTAAAATAGTGTTTTTTGCATAGAAGGGCAAGAAGTTTTGGTAAGAGGGGCTTATGAATTGACAAACTGTCTTATGGTACGTAAGGAAATAACAGTGCAGCTGTAATACGGTTTTAGTAACATCACTGTTTTATCCTTGAAGGTGAAACCCTGAGGCC